AGCTCCTGACTTTTCTGATAAAAAACGGAGATCTCATCATGTCACTGATGATTACTTACCCGGAGAAAACGATCTTGGAGACGAGGAATGGTTGATTTGACAAACTGAGTTTTTCACAGCTTGAAGCCAGACATTTTTTTCTCATTGGTGTCCAAATCTCATTTTGCCCTACAAGTTTCGTCTTTTTTTTTGTCATAAATGATATTTTTCAATCCATGTACAACCTCGCTCGCAAAGATTTATTCGATTGAGAGGGCTCTACAGTGTCGGATCCAGACCCTCAGATAAGGGGGGTGGGGGGGGGGGCGGTCTCAAAAAATTTTTTTTAGCCCTTAGGGCCTCAGTTTGGTCTAAAAAAAAGGGAGGGCTCTGGATCCGCCACTGCTCTAACCATTTTTATCGACTTTAGTTTTCAACTATTATATTGTAACGATCCTACATGTATAGTAAATACAGCAATAACCCGCGTATAACAACCTTCAATTTTTGATGTCAGACAAAAAAGCTTCTTGTAATTTGGGGTTGTTATGGGTTAAGTAGGTTCTAAATTAGGTTCTTAATTCTTTGAACAGTGTTTGATGAGATACAGTTGTTGATTACCGGAAAAATAAATAAACTTGGGTTTGGTTCTTTAGGCATACAGTATGTGTATTCATATCTGTATTAAAATAAGCCTAACAAAACTGAATGAACATGATTTAATAAACGAGAGTCTATGACAATAATTCTAATTTATAACTTGTCTCCGGTTCAGCTACGTAATGCCTGCATGCATCAATTAATTCTCTAACTAATAGTATTCGTTAAAAAAATAGTCATTCGAGACTGAGGTAGTATTCTAAGTTCCGGACGAGTACCAGATAATCAAGCGCAAAAATACATGCAGCCAATGCCATTATGTCCCAACAGACACAGCCACGATATAACCATTGAAGAAGTAGTTAACACGAAATTTCTAATAACGGCTCTCCAAGCAAATCTAAAACGAACTACTCTTCAATCAGTGTAAGTCACCCATGTGCTTGATTAACACTGATTTCTCAATTTCTTGTACAGAGGGCTTATCTTGAGTTACATACAATGCCACTTAAAAAAGGACTTTAATAAAATACCTAAGCATAGTGAACGATTGCTACTTATAGAGGATACTGTTTTCAAACAGCAAACCACGTGTTCCACTTTAATATCGGATCGGAATAGGTTATCTTGTTTCGGTGTCACTAAAAAAGCACACAGCTGAAAAGACAGAAAAAGTAAAAGCTGTTACATAGTCATCAGATAATGCAATGAACCGTAAACGAATTGTGTAGACTATAGGTCACGTATAAGAAATTGTCGTTTGCCGTTAATAATGTAAGTTAAAATCTCTCCGATATACATTGTCACTCTGAGGTGGTTTCCGATTGCCGATCCTTTGTGTTCTTCAATTCGTTGGTGTACACGTGCCGACACCTACACCAACGAATTGAAGAACACGAAGGATCGGCAATCGGAAACCACCTCAGAGAGCAGCATGATATGGAGCCTGAAGACATCGCACAAAGTTTTAGAATCTTAAGAAAGTGTCAGAACAAATTTGACTGTCTTATTTTTGAAATGTTTTTTATTTTGTTTTTAACTTATTTATGCTAATTTAGAGAACTTTTATACACTTGAAAATGACCTCGGAGAGGTCGAAACGTCGTGATTTTTTATCGCTAATATTTATCTCAAAATCGATTTCTAAGAAACTACTTATAAAGAACATTGCACTCTGTTAATCAGGACTGTCTGACCAGGTATGGTTATTTTTTAAAAAATGGTAGCGGTAGTGGTATGTGTTAAGCCAGTGAAAATTCCCAAAGTTAGCCTGCCATTTCATTTTCCAAATTGCCGGTCTAGCCCTCCGATCAGCTCTGATTTTTGGTTAGCGCCCTCAGTCTCGCAATTTTTAGTGTTGCGGCGCAAGTTGCACTGAAAACATATTACTTCTTCGTGCAAACATCGCCTCTGTAATGTGTCTTGTAACGGCCAACAAGCTCCGCGACAGCCTGCGTAGCTGGCGGTTATCTTGGTGTGGTGTTTCTTCTGTGGTTTCGTAGAGACATTTAGCCGCGCGAAAGATGAACTGACGACGAAAAAAAAAAAAAAGATGGGGGAGAGGGCGATTCTCCCATCGTTTTCTGTTTAGACCTTGGTTCAGCTTTCGCGCGGCTGTAACTCTTACTTAGTTAACCACAAAAGAAAAAACAACAAAAACTACCACCATGCAGGCTAGTCCAGGGGAAAAACTTACTCTTTGAACTGATAAAGAGACAAGTCGTTCAAGTTTCTTTCGGATGTGACAGCACAGAAGAAACGGTAAAAGCAAAAAGTAGAAAGATAATAATTAACATAACATGGACTGAACATTCACGACGGGCGCTTTCTCATATCTCACCCCAATGATTCATGAAACTGCGCAGCAACAAGGACACTCTGTAAACTAAATTATTATAAATCCGCAGGGGGTAGTTTACCAAATTATCATAATTAATGTTTCCTGATCATGACGTCGAGATATGGTATAGAGAAAAATCTTCATTAAAACCTTTCAATGGCTCACCAGTTTTTTTCCCGTAATTTGGTCTTCTTACTCTCCTGAAAGAAAGGGGCGTAAAAGAGATGTTTGTCAGAATGCGTTTTTGGCATTAAAAATGCTGCTTTACAGAAATACATTTCTTTTTGCCAGAGTTTTGCCCCCGGGAATTGGCCCTAGAATTGATCGCATAGAATATTGTAGGACGGTTTAAATAACGCAGCAAATACAAAAGAAGCCACGGCTTGGCAAAATTGGAGAGGGTCACAACGGATTGCAACACAAGTAACCCGTGCTGTGTGATAGTACCACAGTACGAATCCAGTAAGATTACAGTGTTAATAAGTACTATTAATAAATTATTTATTAATTATTAATTAATTATTAATACTCGGAAATAGTACCTCAGTACAAATCCAGTGAGATTATAGTGTTAGTATGGGGTAAAAATACGATCCTAAAACTAGGAAATAGCAAAAAAAGTAATTGAAACTAACTCTGCAGTTGGGTGTTGTTGTCCTTACACTCAGTATTGATTACTCAGTATTGTTGTTTTCTAATATTACTATTATTACTTACTTCTTGCTCATTTCCTGCTAACTTTGCTTCTTTTTCAACTTTGACATGCTGGTCATCCTGGATAAACGATAAAACTTGAATATTTCCCTTCTTTAATTTAAACATAAAATGTTTTGGGTGTATCATTTTTTCTTACCTCTGACTCTCTCTCTGTTCCATTCGCTCGTTCTGAACCATTGCCGTATTCTCCATCCTAGATTAGATTTTTAGAAAACATGTACAAATTAGACAATATAAATAGAGGATATTACATGGTGGCGCGAAGATATGAATTTTATTTTCGAGTGACAAAACAATATTTTACGAACGAGCGCAGCGAGTGAGTAAAATATTGTTTTTGCTACGAGGAAATAAAATTCATATCTTCAAGCCGCCGTGTAATGTTCTTTTTATAATATAGACAAAATGACATCGATAAAATAATAGAGGGAAATTACCAAAATTACGTCATCGATAAAGTCACGTGTGAGATTATGGAAAATAAACCACTCGGGTCCCACTGTACAGTTTTCGTGAATTTTACGAGTGGTATATTTTCCAGTAAAACAGTCGTGTCGATACAATAAATGTATTTATCACACTCGAAAATGCGACCTATAACAAGGGAAGGTCTAGCTACTCAAACTAAATTGTTTCTGGTCGATACCTTTTTTAAAACTTGTTAAGGAATACATACCTGCTGGGCCTGATCTGATCTCTCACACTCTCTCAGTCTTGCTCTGCAGGATCTACGGAAAAAACGAGGGGAAAGTAATGTTAATCGAGTAATTAAGTTTCAGACCAAAGACGAGATACTTGCAGCTTTTTTCAGTTATCGTCAATACATTAAGGTTTTACATGCGGTAGCTACAAGGTTCTCTTCGAGTGAGGTCTGACTCTCTAAGGGCATGACCCCTCCTCTCTACAGTGTCTGTATAAAGGCTCTTAATCAGTCACAAAGAACTTAGTAAAGGTGATAATAACGGGCAAGAAAGTCTTAAATTACCTTTTAGATTGCAAGGTAGGAAGGGGCGCACTCCTCCGAGGGGGACATCGCCAGAATTTTTACCTGGACTATGTGGCAAGCACTCAAAAGAGAAAGATCGGAAAAAAGGAAACCGCACATATGGGGAAATCGGCCTTTTATACCCTTACTCCTACCTCTTGGCGCTTGCAACCGAGGTTAAATTACTCGTGAAAGGAACTAAAACCCGGTGACGTTTGAGAACTTGGTGTTAAGTCTTTTTCACCCGCCAATCGATTGCAAATGTACAACAACAAATTAACTTTCAGTGACAATTCAGTTATGGGGAACAAACTGATTCTTACAAGCATGTTAATCGCTTGATTTAATTGAATAATGTCTCGGTTAATTCCAAGCATGTAAATTCTCCTCGATGCTTTCGTAGGACGTTTTCCGGGTTGTGTATTCCCATGGTGAGGGATTTTTCACTAATTTTTTGCCTGAGGGTTGTGGAACTTGTCATTTTAAATTTTACACTTTTAATGAGAATTTGAAAAAGAAAAATATGTGGGATATAACTACTGGCAATACCGAATACCGTACTGTTCGAATCCTAGTAAAGCCCTCACGCTCAAAATTTTCTCCATTTTCTAATGCCTACCATTGCAGCAGAAAAATCAGCGAGATTAGTTTAAAAAGCCTTAAAATGGAATTCAAGGGTGATTGCGATCCCGGCTCATACTTTTTGCAAGGCTACTAAGATGGAAAAATCGTAAATGCTTCATCTGAATTTTGTCCTTGACAATTATGAAAAATAAAGCAGATCAAGTAAAGGAAAATCACTAACATCTCCGAAGGAAATCCTTTATTAAGTAAGGAAAGTTTTCTATAATAGTGAAAATTGTAACATTTTCCAACAGCTTACCTGTTTCTACCGTCTTCCACCCTCGCTAAATGCACCTTGATGACCTTGAAATTAGGTGTGGAGTTCTCCAGGCCGATAGCGAAGAGACGGTTGGAGGCAGAGGCTGCCAAACAGGTCGCTAAACTTCCCACATGAATTACACTTAGGAGCTCACCAGTCTCGATGTTATAAAGTTGAACACGCAAATCAACATCAGAAAAAACACACTCCGTGGGACCTACAAACTTACATTCATGAAATGAAGGTAAATTACGTCGGAGCGTCTGTCCTGTTTCGCCATCCAAGACTAACGCTTGCGCAAACTGGGTCTTAACGACAAGAAACTGATCCAATGGGGAGAACACTGCGCTTCTGTGATCAAACATCGGGATAATGCCATCCCTTTTCCAAAGAACGTTATTGCCATCCAACAACTGAAGTAAGTCAGAGGCACCGATGGTTAACAGCTGACATTTACTGTTGCATGCGACTATTCTGTGGCAAAATTGATTTGTTGACACGAATTCTCTGTTGCGTGTATCAAGGACTTTCAATTCGTACTCCCTTACGAATGCTACTCGTTCTTCTGACATCGGAATCATTTGTGTGTCTCCTGGCAGGTTAGTCCACGTATCGATACGGTCAGACAGCTCATTATCCCACAGGTCAACGCTGCTTCGTCCCGAAGAAACTAAAACACCTTCTCTCACAGGACACAAAGGAGACCTCCATCCTTCGGTAACAACGCCGAATATTTCACGTTTAGGCTCCCCAGTAAAAACTTCCCAAGCAGCCACTGTTGTGTAACTTGAAACGTACACAGTCCGGCCATCCAAACTGAGTGCTATCCCAGTAGCTACAGTGGCTTTGCCTTGACCATTGTTGTTTACTTTTGAGGTATCGACCATTTCTATTTTTGACCAAGAGCATCGTAACTGACGTTGTCCATCAAGAGCAAAAACCATCCTCTCATTAGTGAGGGCTGAGCCAAAAGGATCTCCAAACAGGAAACCACTATCGTTAAAATCTTCCTGTGTTTCAAACTCAGGAAGGTCATCATCAGAGGAAACTTTCAAAGAAAAGGTGTCGTGAGACTCTTCAAAAACCTTAAGAGACAATCGTCGCTCAGTGTTGTTGTATCCTACAGCAGGTTGTGCCAAATGCAAACAAAAAAGAAATTTGAGATTACGTGAAAATTTCAACATTCCAAATACATGTCGGGTATCTATTTGAGCCAGTTTTCTAACGCCATTCGTCGCATCAATCAAACAAATTAATCCCGATGAATGAGACATTGCAACCAGCCTTCCACCTGGAGACCATGCAAAAGATAAAATGTCTTCATCGCTAAGGATGAAGTCAATCTCTGAGCCATTTTCCAAATTCCACAGGACAAGGCATTTAGAATCTTCAAGACAATTAGTTAGTATCTTTGTTTTGTCTCCGGAGACAGAACAAACTGAGAATTTACAGTTACTCTTGGGAAACAGCGGTTTCAAATCTCCATCCACAGTGTACGCCTGGCTTAGAACCCCTGGTAGAACAATTTGTTTCGTGGGATGGAAAACAACTGAACGAAAAAACAAAGAGACATCTGTGGAAGGCAAGCTTCTAGAATATTTGATAGAGACATCGTCCTCTTTGAGTCTCTTTTTTACTACTACTGGACGTGTCCATTTTAGCTTGCCAGTATCGAGTGACCACAGCTGAAGCTTTCCATTTGCACATTCGCACACCATGTAATCCAAATTCTTTGAGACGTCCAAACAATCCACAAAAGATGAACATTCAAATCGTGCTACAACACCCCCCTGTTGCATCTCCTCGTGAACATTCTCCATATATGGAATTTCAGGGTACTTGTTCCGCAAAAGATTCGCTGACTCAACAGACAATACTTTTCCACCTTCGCTCAGTATGGTTTGAAGAAACATTCGAGGATGACGTGTCAACATTAGGTGGTGTTTTCTTAACAGAAACAACAGCGTTTCCAAGACACTTTGGCTATCTTTGGATAACTTTGAAGACACCCCCTGCTTTTTAAGCCACAGAAGATCTTCAGAGGCTGCTGTGCTGTTTACACAGGTCCTGGCATACACTGTTTCTAAATCTATCGTGTAGGCCTTTATCAATTCCTCCAGGTTATGTGACCGTCCCTTGACTCCTGGGTGTAACATGTGACGCACACCATGATGAAGTGCATACTTCTCAGTGGCGCGAAATTGTACTTTATCTACGCCTTTCTGTTTCAAGAGATCAAGTTCTCTAGTACAGAGGTCTGCTAATATACGGTGACCTTCGTTCTCGTCCATGAGAAATTCATGCCTCCCATAACAAGAGGCATCCGTTAACCAGTCCTTGACGGACTTGTGAACGACGTGAAGACAATCGCCACGGATGGGGAGAAGAGCAGAAACACTGTCCAACGCTCTAAGTACTTTACGCTTTGCAAGCGTTGAATTAGTACCTGGTACCAATAATTTAGAGACAAACCCTACTGGTAGGGGCTCCCTTGACGCAGTTATGGCAGATAGCAAATTCAGGAAATGTTCTTCTCCTATGTCAAGTTTATCTTTAAGTTCGTTTTCCAATCGTTTGAAGTAGTCAAAATAGAATGACGAAATTTCTGATGGCAAGCTGCTATCTAGGTCTTCTTCGTTGAGAACTGAGCTATTTTTAGCGACCAGGGACAATACGAGGAAGTGAGCATAAAGCATGAGTCCTTCTGATTTCGAAACTAGTCTTTCCACAAACTCGTCTGCAATTTCTGGGTTGATCGCATGCTGCAGCTTCTTTCGAAAAAATACCCTGATATCTTCTAAATTTTTTTCGTCTTCAGATTTTAACTCAATCGGATTCAATTTTTTTAGTTTTTCCACAATGTTTAAGGAAGGACGTGTTGTGACAACGAAACGAACCCAAACAGAAAGCTTGCAAAACTGATTTGCAATCACATCAAGAAGCTCATTTCGACCGTGATATTCGCTTTCATCCACGCCATCTATCACCATGAGCATGTTGCTTCCTGGAGCACTTACAGCACTAAGAGTTTCCTTAAAAAGCAAGGTAAACAATTCCTCCACACCCATGTTGTTGAGATCTGTGCCAAGATTTCGTGATAGCTTGTTACAAAGAGCTTCCTTGTACTTCGGTAGGGCGTTAGAAAAGTGAACGGCCAATGACTGAAGCATCAGCTGAGGCTTACGGCGGCGTACATGATTATACTGACAAAAGTGGCTTCCTAACAGTCTATCCGCCACCTGCATCCGTTTGCAAATTACAGCTGCGATGATCGATTTTCCCATCCCGGCATTTCCACTGATCACCATCACCCGATGTTGAGAACTTTTGTCATCCAGCCAGTTTTGAACTTTGTCAAAGACCCATTCACGGGTGCCTACTTGAAATCGTTCCAATAAATTCTCAATGTCGTTACTAAAATCTGAATCAACGAGGTTTCTAAGGACTTCGTCATCCCTGCCATTGTCTCTGTCTCTTAGACTTTCGACTGTTTCTTTTAATTCTAGGATACCATCTGCAACTTTTTCCACGGTCTGCTGCGTTTTGGTCTGAGACTGATGCACGGTTTTCAACCGTGACTTCATATCCTCTTCACTGTCAACCCACTCAATAATCAAGTTAACATGATCTTGCTCCCCACATTTCTCTGCCTCTAACCTCTCTACTTCTGCTTTATCAAGGCCAAGACTTACAAGAACACCACTAATTTCAGTGAACAGAGCAAAGAACGTTGATGTATCTACACCAGTGGTTGTGACGTGACCATACAATTCATTGCGATAGAACTTTACCCGTGCAAGGTTAGCCTCATAAGAAGTATCACTAGGGGATGGTTCCATGTGCCATCCTGTGAGAGGAGGGGTCAGCCCACAAATTGTGGTCAGAAGAAGATACAGGAGAGTGATGTCAAAAGTGTTGGAGTCTGGAGCGACTCCACCAGGTGGAAACAGTTTGTCCCACTGTTTAGGTCTAAGGATTCGTTTACTACGGAGTTTGTCCAAATTCGAGTAATGGGCATTGAGTCCAGCAGTCAACTTAGCAGAAGGGTAGTAGCCATCAAAAATCCTCCTGAGAACTGTTGTTCCGCCGTCGATTAGAAGCCTGCTGAGCTTGGCTCCATTTGTCTTCTCCACAGAACTGGCCAGGGGTGATTGTGTTGAGGTAGCCATGTAAATATTCAATTGCAAAAGCCCACTACATATCCCTGCATGAAGAAGAAAAACAATCAAACTATGTCATAGACTGTCTCCTAAATTAAACAGTAGAGGGGTGACTTGCAACAGGCTTCTCATTCTTAAGGGAACGACATAGTACATTAGATAAAAAATTGTTCTCAATCTTTAAAAACAGTACCGCTTCATTTCAGTCACAGCCACGTTACATTCCGCCATTGCCATCCGCAAAGTTTGCCTTGAACAGTATTTATCAAATTAAATGCAGACGTACAATAACCAGTATGGGCATATAATAACAAGCTGATAATAGAGCAAGTGATTTTACCCCAAGAGTTATGTACAAGACTTAAATCTTTAGGGTTGTTGTAAGACTACGAATAGTCCCCCATTTTTCCTCAGGAATAGTAGAGCGAGCAAAACGCGAGCGCGCGTGAAAATCAACTCACGCGAGAAAAGGCGACACGTAGACAACCTAGACTACTCGTAGTCTAGGTTGTTGTTGACAGAGACTACTGAGTACCAAAAGTCTTTTTTCTTGCATACGAAAGGACGCTTTGGGGTCGGCCGAAGGCCAATGCCAAAAGGGGCGAAACCTCGAGAAAAAACCTCTTGTATAGCCCCTCACGCAGATGTTCTTTAGGCTCGTCACGCAATCCACCCTAACAAACGTGGGTAAGGAACGCGTGACGAAGCCCCTAAGAACGAAAAGACGGGAGACCGCATAACTCATTTTCAGGTCAAGTCAAAAAGTTAATCGACCACAATAAGTAATTGTCAGAGATCATCGTACGCAGTGCCCGAGACCGAGCCAGTTGGAGACTACTTACAGTCACCTGCTCCTCGGTCGACTGATGATGATGACTGCATTGCTAACAACAAAGTCTTCTACTGTTCAAAAACTGAAGGTATGTGGATCGGATCTAACAGACATTATAAGGAAAAACCTTTCGGTATTAAATGGACGGATGAGCCAATAAAAGCTCTAGGTGCATATTTTACCTATGACCAAAACTTGCTTAAAGAAAAGAATTTTATTGAACGACAGGATTCAATTAAAAAACTATTTAGTTATTAATTATATATGGTCCGCTACCCGGGCCTTTCGATATACGGTAAGGTGACAATAATCAAATCATTTCTCATCCCTAAGTACATCAACGTTTGTTCGATCCTAAGGAATTGCTAAAAGAATTAAATAAAATACTGTTTAAATTTCTCTGGAAAGAAATAGATAAGGTGACAAGAGCTTCAGTTATAAACGAATACGAAGGGCCAGGGAGGGCTAAGAATGATAGATTGGGAGTGTATTGTTAAATCATTGGGTATCTTGGGTAAGTGGCTGAACACAGTTTTGCGGCTGTCAGCGGGAACTCGCGTGACCGCGCGTGTTTTAAATTAGTAAAACAAACATGGTGGCGAACAGAAGAGAATTTCTCAAAATCTGCTTATTAAAATTTTGTAATATAAGGCAGAATTTTTACTTTTGTCGTATTTTAAATAATGAGAACCTTAAAATGGAAGTTGAACAGACGAATTTTGTGACACATTTAATAATAACAGAACTATTAATATATTATTGATTATCAAAAAACCCGTCTGTTAAAATTTGGTCAAATAAGTATAGTAACCTGTGTGCAAGTTTATAGGAAAATCTAAGGAGCGAATTTTATGTAAACCTAGCAACAGTGAAATTTTAAGGTTGTATTCAATAGTTCATGTTGTCATGGAAACTGCGAAAACGTCAAATTTTACCTGTCAATCAAAATCTTTCATCAATAGAGAATACTTCATGGAAAGTGCTGGAGTACGGTATTTACACGCGAGTTGTTTTTGTATCAGAAATCTCACTCGTTCGATTTCTGATACAAAAACAACGAGCGCGTAAATACCGTACGAAGCACTTCACATGTGGTATTGTGTTTATTGTATACATACTGAGACTCATTTTGGTGACCTTTTAATTTTAAAACTTTCCAAAATGCTTAAATGTGCCGCTACACACCATGAAGTAACAATAGGGCCATTCATACGAGGAAAAATAAGACGCGTCTTACATAAGACGCGTCTTAAATAAGACGCGAACTTTCCGTATGAAGAGAGAATGATCTCTCTTGTCCGTATAAACGGCACATTTCGTCTAAAATAAGACGCGGCTTAGCTAAGACGCGTCTTATTTTAGAACAGCCCTTAACACCTGTTCTTAGATAAGATGCGTCTAACTAAGACGAGAAAAACCTCGTATAAATCTTTATTAAATGACCTTCGCGTCTTACATAAGACGCGAACCCATAGTACGCATGCGTTAATTTTTGGCGCGCCACGTTGGATTGCCGTTGCTACGGGCAACATTCACATGAAAACGAGTCAAGAACAGAAATAAGACGCGAACCATTTATACGAGCTGTTCTCGTCTTAGATAAGACATGCTCGTATAAATGGTACAGTTCGCGTCTTATTTAAGACGCGTCTTATGTAAGACACGTCTTATTTTTTCTCGTAGAAATGGCCCTTATGAAAACGAAGTCTCAGCTTTTTAGAAGAAACATTTTTTAAAAACATAAATGACGGTAAGGATATGATGTATTATCTGAGGTAATCGAAGAACTAGAAGTAATCTTAACTGTTTGTTCTGAATGTACAGTTGAAAGTGAGTAATTTAAGTAAAATGGCCGGTTTCGATATAAGCTTAATCTTATAAATGGAACACAAAGTAGCTCCGACAAAAAGCACAACATAAGCTTACGTCTTGTTCTGTTTTTCCCCTTCTGCCGTTGTTTCGCCGGCTCTCCACAGTTTTCTTTATCGACAGTGAAACAACGAGACTATTCCGCTCCAATTCTGAAATGTTTTTCACTTTTTTAACGAGAACAAACTCTTTGAGAAAAACGAATGTGTGCGAAGCGGCGCTCAGCAAGCTGCAAGAAAAGGCGAGAATTTTGGCGCGAAACTCATACACCTCTGTGGCTTCTGATTGGGCGTATCATTTTAAAACATCGTTCGCGATTCTGATTGGACGTATCATTTTTTTCACATGTGAAAACCATAGTTCACTCCTCTAATTGGCTAGAACTCATTTGTGTATCAAAATTTACAACACCACTTTTTGGTGAGTATTTCTCAGTATGTATATAATAAATATATATTTTTTACTTGCTAAGTTTCAGCTTGTGAGCTGCAACCTTTCTCTTGCCATGATTTGGCAAATGACATATACTCACAAACTACCAAAACTGTATTCAGCCACATTAAAACGTAACTTCAGTGGGACTTATGGAACATGGAAGAACTACCTACAACACATAGAGCTTTGTTGGTTTTTAACTGCAACTACAGTATTTCGAATTACACAATTCGTGTTATGTTGGTCACAATTTAGGGAAACGTTCGCCACTGAAGAAGATTGGAAAACCATAATCTTGAACAACAAAGAACTATAAGTAGAAAACAGGCCGGTTTATTACAAAAATTATATTTCAATGCGAGAGTCATTTGCATTCAAGGTCTTTTATTTAGTCTGAACAGTACTGACTCTTATAATCAACTGTTTTAAAAAATTGTGTATAGGCAAAGCAAACACTTTAAATTAGGTCCATACCATTATCGCTGAGAAGTAAGGGACCAGTCATTATTTATCACCTGGGGGGGTCGGAGGATTTTGGGGGGGGGATCACTTGATTTTTAGGAGAACAGAGGGGGGGATCAGTCGTAACTGAGGGCCCAAAAGGGGGGGATCACTGAAAATTTTGGAAGGATTCAGAGGGGGGACCACTCAAATCTGCTTGAACAATGCCAGTTTGAAAGGATACAACATAAATGTGCCATTCTGCTGGGAGATGATGGCATTTGCAATCTCAATTTGTTCTATTAACACAACTTTATTTAAAAAACGAAAGTCTGTCACACTGGCGAATGTGTGCAGTTCAATTTATATCGAGAAAGCTTTGTTTTAACGCTTTTATATTTTTCCTTTTATAACGTGCTCATGACTTAGCTAATATTCATCTTTAAACATGACAGGTGAATTCTAAATTGTGAACTATATAAACTTCTGATAACTGAAACATTGTAAAAAGCGTGTTTGTTTAAACATAAACCAT